GGCGAGAACATAACTATTAAAAACTATTTAATAACTTGCTTACGTGACTGATGATTAATGATTGAACTAATGATTTTTCGCATCAATTATTGAAAATCAAAATGCTGCTTGTGATACTCTCGTACTTCCTTGGGTTTAAGGATTCGTGAGAAGAGTCACCACAACACTTGGCAGTGACGTACAGATCCATTCACGAATGGGACGAATCATTCAATTGAGTAAGAGCGGAGCTTCCATCCCGGATAATGACACAGAGCCCATTAACTAATTGATGCAACTAGAAGTGGATTGCGTGTGTATGATTCAACGTCGGCCAATTGCAGTTACTGGGAACGTCAAAAATCGAACTCTTGACCCTGTGAGTAATAGAGAAGTGTTGAAAAATCACACCAGTTGATTAAAAGTACACCGTCAAGAGATTGATTAACAAAAGTCTTAAAGAGTAATGTGTTGTCTATCACAATTGAGATTCAGTCGTCAGACATAGTCGGTCAGACTGCATGATTTACAGTGTAACGGTTTGTCCATAACCTTTTATTTTAAATAATATTTATGGCAAACAAAGAAGTATATTGAATATCCATAATAACGTTTTTCTGCCACTTAGGGATATTCAGTATATAATACCAGTGAGGTAGCACCTTTGAGAGGGTTGGATGGGGTCTTACTAGTGGAATGCAAACCACCTTGGAATTCATGTCTGTCTCCTCACAATATGTCTGCTCGTCAGTAGTCGTTTGGTGCCTTTATAGCGTTAATTATAACAATATGTATTGTAATCTTCGAGAACACCAAATTAGCTCGCAGGGAAAGCGACTGCGAAGCCCCCCACTGCTGGGCCTGGGCCTAGTGCGAGCGCCCACGCACGTAGACAATAATTAGCACGCTTGCGACACGGCAACTGTCGCCGTACACCCGGATCGAATCGATTTCACGGCGTTAAGAGGACGTTTCGAAGACCCTAATACATTATACGTAGCGATTGACTGATTGCGCCCTAGCGGGCGGAAGCCAGGCGAATTTACTGAAATTCACTGTACTCAAAAGCAACTTGTGACTTATAGCGTAAATGTCAAACGTAGATAATATGCCATTTTATGAAGTTCAATTTGAAACATACAATTTAGTTACGGAACACCACAAATTATAATTTAATTTTAAAATGAATCTGTACAAAAAATTCCGCGAAGACTAAAATTAAGTTGAGAAGAAACAATAAAGCTTTCTTTAAATTGATTAACTGCAGCTTACCTCTTTGCTTAGATACCCTACTCACAAATTTGATTCAATTCATTCAAAAAAGGATCAAATCTTTCTATTTATATCCCAGATTATTTACTCCCGAGTATACTAAGCAACCGTTTCCTTTATGACAACACGAAAGCTCGCCGATAGTCCATTGTTGACGCTCAAAGCGCGCACTCATCATTTCGGCACAAGGTTGTTTCAACTACTTATTAGAAATAATTTCTTGTATTTACGCGATTACACATTATAAATTAAACTAATTTTACGGATTTATAAACTAATCTTACATAGGACAAACGAAAAGAGCAATAAAAACCCGCGTGAAAGAACATATAGCTGATATAAAACATAGTAGATTAAACAAGTCTGCAGTTTGTGAGCACACTCTGAATCGGCCCAACCACTACATCAGGTTTGATAGACCACAGATCCTTGCAAAAGAACACCGATTCCTCCCAAGGATGATTCGCGAGGCTATTGAAATTAAAAAAAACCATAATTTCAATAGAGAAGAGGGTTGGGTACTACCATCAGCTTGGGATCCTGTCATCAATAAAATTAAATTTAAGCCGCGAACCACTACTGCAAGACAAGATACAATTAGCTCGCTCTGCATAGATCGGACACAAAATTAATAATACAAAAACTGACGGTAGCCCGGGTTAACTATGATCTGACAATCAGACGTCTAACACCTCAGTCTGTCTCGTGACCATGAACGCTGTAAAGGGTTCGAAACGTCGGGAATTAAAATTAAAATAAACGCGATAAATCCGTAAAATTAGTTTCATTTACTTATTAGAATTCTAAGATATGAAACAGATCATTTGCAACTCCTCTCCGCATATCGAGGTGAATTTATAACAGACCGTTGTCAAACGACATAGAGATAATCAAAAGCGGGGTGGGTCCATGCCAGAGCGAACGGGCGGTGTCTCCTTAACGGGCGCGTGCGGCTCGTCACGTAGGGTCCCCAGCTCTCCCCCCGCCCCCCCTCACCATGCCCCGCGCTAAGTGGCTAAGTGGGATACGGCACAGGTATTTCGGCTGCCATTGTGTCGTGAAGGGGAACTAACGCGGGCCCAATCTGAGGTCACGTTTGTTTAGGTCGTGCCAGATTGACAGCTATGGTGCCTACTTCGACTGCCGGCGGCGTATAGAAAATCGCAGTTTACAGTATCTGTTTTGTTGCGGGCATGTCTACAGTTGTTTACTGGTCGTTTGATTGGCTTCAGAGTGTTACCTAAATGTCTGTTGATGAGTTCTGTTGAATAAGTAGACTCTAAAAAGTTCATAGAACTACTTAAAGTTCTCGCCTGTACTTTTTTTACTCTACTAGTCACTCACGCGGTGGCAACGTGGATTGGCAGACTTACATATACATTATATATCATATCTTCGAAATATATTGTTTTTTCATATAATTTTGAATAAATACAGGTTCTCTTAAGACGTTTTACTTCACCCATGGGAAATACTTACGATGCCACTACTATGAATGATTATTTCATATCAGCATTTAAATCATCAGCAAAGGAGTTTGCTCGTGTATAAATTAAATCTTGAAAGTCAAATGATAAATTAGTTTGCGTGTACATAAATATTGCTTCAGGTGCGAATAGATTACTGAGCTCATGCCTCATCGGCTGATTAGACAAATAACTTTAATATGGAACTTGTATCGTTTAAATGCGGTAACTTGAGTTTCATTGTCATTGTAAGAATTTGTAATTAAAACTACTTATTGCATTCCATCGCGAAAGCAAAGAAATTGAACATTTTCCCGGCGTCCATTTCTATATTCCATAGAAGACAAGGACCATAAGATTTTACTGAATGTACTTTTCAATATTAATAAACCATCTGATGGTTCCGCTAGCTTGAACAGTGTTCAAGAAGTGGCCAAGAATTAAAAAACCATAATTTTTATTGCATAAACTACTATTATGCAATTACTACCTTCTTTTACTGTTCTTATTACACTGTGAACTATGACGACAATGTCATTCTCGTAATCCGCTTAAGTTATTGTCCTTGTGACAGATCGATCGCGAACATACATTATTGGCTTTCGCGACTTTCGCAAAGTTCAGATCCGTTTCAAGCCGTGCACCGGCGTCGAGGGAGACGGCAAGAGCCAACCGGACACTCGCGCATGGACCCATGTTTGCTGCGAACGATTTACGCAGAAAATTTTACGACTGTGTACGGAGCCGCGATATCCAAACATGTTTATGCCGCAACGGACGTTGCAAAGACGTCAGCGGCGGGTGTTAATGACGTCGCCACACAATGGTGTGCAGCGGCGGCGGCGTGAGTCAGCTGTTACTTAACAGGAGTAACATCGTGATCATTTCCGCTCAGAACACGTTCGAATTAAATTATAACACTGAACGGAGTGTCGAATAAAAAATTCTTTTGAATCATCATTTAAAGTGTATAAAGCAAAAATTAAAAAGTTAAGTAAATTACAATAAAAAAAACCTGAAAAAAGAAGTAGGGCGTGCCTATTATTTGATTTGTGGTATTGGTTCATAAATAGTCATTTATATAAACCAGCCGAGTGCGAGTCTGATTCACGCACGAAGGGCTCTGTACTATTATCTATAAAAGAAGGCAAAAAAATCATGTCTGTTGTGTGGGAGCACCACTTAAATATTTTTTATTGTGTTTTTAGTATTTGTTGTTATAACGATAATAGAAATACATCATCTGTGAAAATTTGAACTGTCTAACTATTACGGTTCATGAGATACAGCCTGGTGACAAGGTGACAGCGAAATCTTAGTATTAGGGTCCCGTTTTACCCTTTGGGTACGGAACCCTAAAAAGAAAAAAAATCGTGGCATTTTTAAAATTACTGAGGATGCATCAGATAACATTTTGTTATTATTTCGTGTTTCTAATCATTTTCATTTTTGTTAGAGCATTCTATTTTAAAGATGGTGTTAAGGTTGAGCGCTTGTTGCTGGCTGGCAGCTGGCAGCAATTTATTTGGCTGCTTGTACGATTAAGCTGCTAAGACATCAGCTCCCAGAGGCTCAGTCGAGGTGTAACCATGTGCTTGTGGTCATACTTTTATGAAGAAAAACTAACTTATGAGATTTAAGAAAGTATAATGAAGTTATTAAAATAAATGAGTGAATGAATTTTCCCTTCTGCTTATATTTTACCATTTCTCTCGTATAAGACATTACACAAGCTCGAACTAAGCGTTTTGTCTTGTCAATCAATATGCGAAGAGCAAAGGAATGGAGAGATTTGCCGGCGTCTTTTCATCATTATAAAATAGGTGTCTTCAAGACAAGAGTGAAAGTCGAAGTCAAAGTTTCTTTATTCAATATAGGCTTATTTTTAGCTCTTATTGAATGTCGAATAAACAACTACCGGTTCACTAAACTTGACCTGTCCAGAGAAGCATCGGCAAGAAACTCTGTGGTCTTGTTAAAATGAATAGGCTTTTTTTTTTACTTTTTTCGTACTTTATGTTATCGTTAGTGCGATAACATAAAGTACGGAAAAAGCCACTCTTATTTATATAGTTGATGCAGATGAAACATGTACATTTCCTTATAGATGACCGTGTCATCGAAGTTCGAGAAAAATATAAAAACGAGTCCATATGAAATAAGTTCTCACCCGCTACAGTGATATGTGAGAGCTTTGTCCTAATATATTCACTCTTCAACCGCAGACGGAGAAACGAGATGTTTACAAACACCACTCTTGTGTCAATGACCTTGCGGCATCTAACGGGGGCTTAGATCATCCTGCAAACATTCTGCGCTGTTTTGCTTTTGTAGGCCGCGCCGTAGCGGCATCCGTAGCACTTCCGGTGCGTCACACTCCCACGGTGCAGGCAGCCTTGCGTTCGCCGCGCCCACCTCTGAATACATTACGGTTTTAGCACGAACCAGCTTGAGGCTGCACCAACAAAAAACTTGATGTACAGTAAATAGGTTGCCAGTGCAACATATGCATGGCATGTCCGGAGCAAAGATCGGGTTAAGGCTACATTCGGATTGCTATCTATGTAAACGTTTCATTGCTTGTTTGAGGAGTATGTTTTAGTTTCGTGCTGTATAACGGCCAGCAATGAATTAGCTACTTAAGGATACGATGAAAATTTCTTAATAATCGTGGGACCCGAAAACCATGTTGTGGAACCGCGAGTCGAATTCGTGCGCCTGTTGATGACCTTAGCATGAAGCCGTGTTAAAGTTTCGTGGAAATCTCAATTTTGTATACTCTCGAAGAATACTTATTTATTAAACTCTTGCACAAAAGGAAGGATTAAAGGAATTTTGACCCCAAAAATGGTCGTGCGTTCTTATGAAAGCATGTTAAACAACTCATTGGTGTAGTAAAGAAAATATTTTTTTAAACCATCCAAAATTAGCTTTGAAAAAAGAAACTTAAATGGAGTAAAAAAACAAATAGACGAAAGTGAGGGGAATAACAGATATACGTTGCAATATAAAATGCTCAAATGCAAAAAAAAAATATTCCGAACTTCTACGAAAAACTAAATCAATCCGTGTTAAGTATTGATGATATTGATGGAACAGAATGAGAAATCGAGTGTATTAGAGGTTCGAATTCCATTAAGATTTTGATGGGTTCGGTTATGAGCACTGTAGAGGAGAGTAACTAAATGTGGGCTAGTGCTTTAATATGTGCTAGTAACAATTATCGAAAACCTACAATCGAAAGACTCAACAAACGACGATCGTCTATCGCATTCATTCGCTCTAATATAGCACTAACTCATTCTCGTCATTCGCGCGCAAGCTGTCGCCACTGTCGGCCATACTTGTGTTGCGGCTGTCGAAAAATTTTCTGCGGTACGTATCAATGTGTTATTTAATGAATGAAAATTAGGTTTAAATACTATAACTATGTGTTTTATTGCAGAATATAAGTTTAATTTTATGATTTTCGGTCGATTTATTGCTTGCTATTATGATTTGTAAAGTACATGATTAAGTTGATTTTAGTAAAGAATTTCGAATATGGGCTATGACTATGGTCTTGAATATGGGCTATGGTCAAGGAGTGAGACTCAAACAGAAGAAACTACTTCTGGAACTGGACATGATCCAACAGATAACTGTCAACTTTGTCTTCCGGAATTCATCGTAGCATTCTAGGTTTAGTATCTCCTTATGACATAAGTCCCATGCCAAAAAAGTCAGAAAGACAACTAATAGAGGTAGAAAAGCTGCTGTGGCCTCGCTCATAACTTCGTCTCCATATAAAAATGACCTTATTCAAACAAATAAGAAGAAAATTTAAAAACAAAATAAAATAAAAGATAAGAAACCCAAGCAAAAGCAAAGAAGTATAGGAAATAAGAAAGCCAAGGACGAACTTGAAGTTGAAGAAGATATCCAATTTGATTCAGATAGTGAACCAGATGCCCCTATAGGAAGAGAGGCTCCTGACACTGCCGACGCGGCGTGTATGTTTTTTTTTTTTGTCAGGAACTTTTTTCCGAAAACGCGGCAGGAGAATTGTGGGTCAGATGTTTAATGTGTAAGCTCTGGGCACATACCTAATGACTGTGCTGGGCCAGAGTTTGACACCTGGATATGTGATTTTTGTAAGTAATTATGAGATTTCTTCCATGTACCAAAGTAATTTGATCTCTTATAAAATAAATATTTATAATTGTTATTTTTGTACAAGATATTTTAAGTTTCTATTTGTAGCCCATATTTGAGTACCTGTTCCATATTTAGCGCCTATTTTGATATTTTGTTTAATGTTCAATTTAATAATATATTATAATATTAAGAATATAAGATTGTTAATTAGTTCTTTAAAAATGTATGTGTAATTATTTTGACGTCAATAAATAGTTAATTTTTTAATAGTTTTTTATTTTTACGGCAAAAACAAAATGGTAGCCCATATTTGGTTACTCTCCTCTATTGAAATTCGTGACTGACCGGCCGTCAATGACTGACTCAAAGACTCAGTGGTTATGCCTGTCTACCCTGGTGAGCATTTAAAGTCGTCAGAGCTTTTATTTGCATAAAGCATTACCATTCACTATGGTGAGTCATTCCGCAAGTTAAACAAAAAATTGAAATATATTGTATTATATAATTTTGGTATTGTTTCGCCATCCTAGTGGCTATAAGGATAATAGGATTTGCAAATATTATTTGTGTATTGCTAAGGGATTTTTCTTGTCCATCAGTAACTTCGCTTACCTTTATCTTTTTTTTATCTTTGATTTTGAAGAACCGGTTAAATATTTGTGCTTGGTTTGTAATCAGACTCTTTTAGTCAATGAGATTATGAAATTTTTTAATCATCTCATCACCTAAAAGATAGAGTATTGATTATTGTTAGATTTTTGTTAGATTATAGGTAGAGGTATTGTTTTGCTAAATAAAATGATGTTTATCAAACATATCACAGAATGATATGTAATTGTAACAATCCTATAAACATCGAAAGCACTTGACCTTTAAGCCTAAAGCCAGACTGACACCAAATATTTTGTGTTATAGTGGCCAAGATAAGACTTGACGTTGACAGCTTGCTAGTGATAAAAAGAGACATTGGGTGCGGCGGCTTATTGAATTGTCGCGTATTTTGGTGAATACATTTAGAAATCTAATAATAATAATGGACTGAATAGGATAGGATGGAGGATGCAGTGGCAGATTTGCCCTAAGGTCCAATAGACCCGAGAGTAGGGCGGCCACATATTAGGGGCGGCCAATCGTGACAAAAAATTCACTGAAAAGGGCGCCTGGAACTTACTACATGAGCTGGGGCCTAGGGCGGCCAGGAGTACAAATCCGCCACTGGGAGGATGGCAGTTGATTGAGGCCCTGCGATGTTACCCAACAACAGGGGCTTGATTTGAAGCCTGCGGGGACACCCGAACCTCCCCAGGGATCGCCATCGGGTCCTCTCACCCGGTCGCCAACCGGAACGATGTAAATCTTATCTTTAGTACCGTTTTTTGAAAGCCGTATTGCAATCGCGTGATTTTAACTAAATATAGTGTTCGCGTTATATACTTTTCTTGGCGATAAAAAGTCAGTACAATATAGAATTGTCTCGGGGGATTTAATCTGAAGAAGTGAAAACGTTTGAAGAATTTTTTGCTGATTTGAAGGTGTATCCCGGGGGAACGCATCAGTGGTGAGTCACTGTACACACATATACTATACATATATATACACATACATACCATACTACTACATATACTTTACACTACACATTACTCATACCGGTGGCAACTGCTGAACGGCGTGTCATCAAGGGTTGTTAAGAGTTTTTTGCTAATTGTAATCTATTTTATAGCGCGGTGCTTCATTCTCGGCTGTCATACCGTTTGCACTTTTAGAGAGCTAGCCGATGGGCTCCTATCCCCTCTTGGAAGGGTAATAGCGCCAACACAGGCATCATGAACTAGCAAACAAACTTTGTTTGGTCCTGGATAATCAACAAATGTGCGAATCACAAGCCGGCCGTTGCAGTTACTAAATAACTTTAACTTCTGGGAGGCTTGCTGCTTATTGGCGCCGGCTCTCCTGGCTCCCATGGCTCCTGGGGACCCAGCGAACGCGGGGGAAGTTATTAAAAGGTGTCAATACGTTTGTAATCCCATAGGTATTGTAAATATCCATGGGCTGCAGTTATCACTTAACATCAGCTCTTGCCACTTACTAACATAAAAAAAAAAAAAACTTTTACATGACCAGCCGAAACTTTTACATGACCAAACACTACGAACTGCGTAAAATTTGGAAAATTGTCTTAGCAGACCATATGGAGCGTAAGTTATTTAAAGGATACTTACGCCACGAATTTCGGAAACAATATAAGAACATAACTTTGCAGCCAGAGGACTCGCTCTACGAACGGCTAAGAAACAACCTTATTCGTTAATAAGTTAAAAGTTCGAAATATACTTACAGACATATATAACAAAACATTAAACAAATACATTGAGCTAATGAATTGCTTACTGCCCGTGGATTATGGCGCTAAATAAAAGTGTTACGATTAGTGTACGAGTTAATACCATTTTACTTTTGTATTATATAATATGTATATGAATAATATAATGTATATGATGACTATAATGTATATATTTTTCTTATCGAGATTACACAGAGAAAGACCATTAAGAACCATTTTCTTAGTTAACCGATGAGGCGCGGTCACACCGAATCTGAGACAGGTTGCTAAAGACTTGGAGAACCACAGCCAAATTTAATCTATTTTTTTTTAATATACAAAGTTGGCAAGCGAGAAGGCACCTATTGGGTGATTGCCGCCGCCTATAAACGTTTACAGCATTGATGAGTTGCGGGTCTGTTGGCACCCTTTAAAACTTTTGGCCCCGGTTCCCTCACTGACGCAAAAGTATAACAATTCTACTTCACAGCGTTGATGTCGCGGTATAATGCGCCACTCAATTGGCACATTATACACAGGCCCACTGAAAACCAGCGCTTAATGCTGCAGTCTTGTATCGACTGCAGCATTAAGCTGATTGCGGTCTATTTGCAGGACGCACCACACACAAGTGTGTGTGTAAAATGTGTAATCTTTCATAATTTTTTTTCTCTTCTTTTTACTATGTAACTTTTTTATGCTTGCGGTTTAAATGTGGCGTATTAGTGCAATATCTGTTTTCTTTCTTTTTTTCTTCTTATTACCCAGAGCATGGGCTCCAGGCTAGGGTGGCGCGTCACGCAAAAATGCGAGGCGTGCGTTCGCGAGCCTATGCGTCTGGGCGGTGAGTGAGCGGCGGCCCTTTGGCGATCCAGTTCGCGATTTCGCGGGAAGCGGTGCGTCACGCGCCGTGGGCGGCCGCGGCCAGACGGGCGGCACCAGCACGCGCCGCGAATCCCCAATGAAAGCGCAAGCCCTCCGAGGGACGGATCCGCATTGACTCATGGCATAGGCCTTGCGGATTGTTGATAGCGGGATCGACGTGCTAGACCGCGGGGCCGTCACGGTGGTGCCGCGCAGCGCGCTTGTGGGGCCGTCTTGGCCGCGGAGTGTCGCAATTATGAGTAACCCAAATAACATATCCCCAAAATGGGTTTAACTTCGACTGCGGGCCATTCATGGCTATATTTACAGCGTTTTAGTACAGGATGAATGGATGGAGCAAGCAAGACCGATCTACGTTCACACTCGAAGTCAATGGTATGTTCTGCACCGGAAATCCCTATTTTCTCGATGCATTGCGTATAGGTAACGGTTGTAAGCATTAATTAGTAGAACATGCGATAAAAGTGAGCTTTCGCGTCAAGAAATTGCATCGGGTGTGTACAGAATGACGTCAATAAACGAGAAATTTGCCGCGGTTTCAACGAAAGCTGCTTACAATACGGAAATCGGGTTTGCAACTATGTTCAAGTTGTTTAAAATATAAGTTGGCTTAAATTTATTAATAATTGCTAATTGGAATTTTAATTCTTGATGGAATATAACGAAGCAATATCTTAAAACAAATACTTCGAATACTTTGCCAACTATTCGTCATTTCCAACTCATATCAAAATTTCTTAAAGCTCTTGTGAACGTAAAACAATGATTCATTTATTTAGACCTCACAGAAAAGAGGTGCATGAATGTTTCTGTAATTTTTTTTTGAGTATAACCAAACTAGGAAATAAATCCAGTATCGCGGTAGATTTCATACTCATGAAAATCGTGGACACAAATTATCTTTGGACAACTATTTATGGAGCACAACATTTTTTGTGATGTGGAAATAAAAAAATCCAATACATGGGATAAATAAAATAGTGGGAATAAAATCCAATACACGGCGCGTAGACAGCTGGCAAGGTTACCACCTAAACCACTATGCCATCCATGAATTCAAAATAGAATCGCTTATTTATTTCCATAATTTTCTTTAAAAATATGTACAACCATCACTGGTTAATGACACGTCTTTATTATTATTATTAGACCCACCAGCGTAAAAGACACTATTGTTTAACATAATTTAACATAAAGTAGGGTCTCAGATTTAATACCTATAATCATAAAACATTATTACATAAAGCAGGGTCTAATAAAAATATAACGACTAATTCTAAATAAACCAATTCATTTATTTTAAATTGATTTATGTTATTTATTATTCTCATAATTATGACCAATTAGGTTACCAATAAAATTACCGACTTGTTCAACTGTGTCTTCTGCGTTATTGAATTTACGCCCGATTTCTGAAACAGTGATCATCGTAGAAATTAACTAATCATATGTTAATGACAATGTTTGATTTGAACAGAAATTATGATTGATGATCAATTCAAATAGTTTAACAATCTTTTGGCAACTCAAATGACATTTGACAGCTGATTAGTTAATTTCTACGATGATCAGTGCTTCAGAAACCGGGCTATAGTCTTCTTTCGAAAATAACGCGCAATTTACATTTCTTTGTAGAGTTTTAAAAATCGTCAATTTCGTAAGAAAGTGCCTAAAGGAAATATGAACTGGCACTCCTCTTTTTTTCTACCTTTTTATGAATCCTACTAAGAATGTTTTTAATTAATATGTTGTAATCACACGACATAATATGTGACATAACTATTAGATCGGGAAAAACTGCATTAAAATATCAAAAGGTCGCATATTAACAAATAACACCATAACGCGAAGTGCGGCTAAACGGCCAATACAATAAGAGAGCCGTCAACCTACTCGGTAAATCCAGTTCCTAGTTCTTCTCACGCCGATTGACGCACGTCCTTTAGAAAGCAGAGCCGCGGCCGATCTCGCCCGACCGTATCACCAAGCGAAAGAGCTCGGAATATAGACACTAGCTCATCGCTAAAATGATTCAGCGGGGTTTTCCCAGTGCAACAAGATGTTCGTATGTGTACGTCTGTCTTTATAGTCTGTATCGACGACTAAAAAGTGTTCATGATTTGGAGTGAGTGAACGTAAAATAGTTAATTTCATCAAGTTCTTTGGCCAGTTTAATGTCAAATATGCTAATAAATCACATTCGCTCAGTTAACTTTAACCTAAACAATTTTAAATAATCTCAAATCAATAATATGTTATTAAATAAAACCACAAAAAGGCTAAATCAACCATAGAATTTGGATTTAATTACTTATCATCCTTAAATTAAAAGAGCGCTTGAGATTAACAGACAGGTTTACCAAAAAATTTTAACGATGATCAATCAGGTCTTAATAAATCTATACAGATAAATAAAATTGGAGTGTCTGTTCGTAATATCAAAATAACCGCTTTTTACTAAATGCATATGGATGTATACACGGTACATATAGCAAAATATTTTTTTTACAATTTTTGTCTGTCTGTCTGTCTGTTTGTTCCGGCTAATCTCTTAAAGAGCTGGACCGATTTTGACGGGGCGATGAGACTTTCACTTGCAGATAGCTGATGTAATAAGGAGTGAGTTAGGTTTAGAAATCTTATTTATTTTAAATTAAAGCGGATGAAGTCGCGGGTACACCTAGTTATCAATAAGCTAAGTAAAGTAATTACAATGCTGGTACACATTCATTTCTATCAGTCATAATATATGTGTCATAATATTAAATGTAGAAGTCTACAAGGCGATTTCATTACCATGAAAAAAAAGTTGTGCAAAGCTCCAAGCTATTCTGTTGTTCAGAATAGGATGGCATCACACATACAACATACATACTATCTATTATATACATAGATAACTATGTGAAGTAGTACCGTGTTAAAATTGGTTATGTTCGTAAAATTTCAAAAATATAAGTATATTTAGAAATTTGCAATTATATTATTTAACTTGAATTTTGCAATTTAGCGGTTAGCTTAAACTCACTGCTCTAATTTGAGGGTTAACCACAAACCGCGCATAAGTTGCCTTTAAGGATGCCATGCGAAAATTAAGGTTTTACAAGCTTTAATTGGTAAATGTATTTAAGTTGTTTGCAACCATAATAATTTGGTTATCCTCTTTTATGATCTTTAAAAAATATTTAGCGAATATTATACCTATAAATATATGGCTAGAAAAGGCGAGAGATATAATAAAATAGAAAATAATGGAGGAGGCCTTTACCCTACAAAGGGGTTCTCATTTAAATAAATTTAGTTATAAATGTATTATTAATAATTTAAACTCGTACAAATATACAATATTGACCTTGTTATACTATATATTAATAGAAATAACTATAATATAATACTATAATCTTTTGCATGTAAACATATAATGTAAAACTGCACGAAAATGAGAAATAATAAATAAGGCTTATTATTATTATTATTATATCATACCTATAATATTTTCAGAAGCTATTAATCTTAATATTATTTGCATTTATTTAATTATTTAAAAATATTAACAAAAAACTGTCGCAAAACATTTCACTGCTGCAAGAATTCGAATTTGACGCGTTCAGACGCTCTAGCCAAACATGTCGACCATTAGGTAGTATTATAAGCCAAGTTTTTTTTGGATCACGGTGTCTCTGTTTGTGTAACTTTTACAAACTGCATAGGCGTATATAGCGGGGGGGCCGGGTGGGCCGTGCCCACCCCAGTATGGTCTAGTGCCCTCCCCAGGAATTTGGGTTACCGATTCGAAATTCTAGGCTGGACACCTATCCTTCATCGCCAAAAGCAGATTGAAGACGAGCGAGGTGCAATGTAGATATTGAATTTCTCGAAATTTCTCTACTATAATATGCATATTATATACTTTTTTTTATTTCTTTTTTAAAAACATTGCCCTCACTTTAGGATAATTTATTATCCTGTGTTGTAAGGACGTTTTACAAACATAAATTGCACGAGGACAAACATCCAGATGCGAAACAACTATTTGTTCGTCGCACAAATAGTTGTCCCGTGTGGGAATCGAACCCACGACTTCCGACGCCGAAACCAATACCTTGACAACTGCGCAACGGAGTCATCAGTAAACATGTACTTGAATAATATCTATTGCTGAAAATCGCATTAAAATTCGTTGCGTTGTTTAACAGTTCTACAGTGTTCGATTTTTTTTGTAGTAAGGGCCCAGGCCCACCCTGAAAAATAGCCCTAGATACGCCAATGATAATCTGCTACGCTATCGTTAGTTATGATGTTAAACTCATGATCGAATGAGGTTACATTCACACCGTATGTTCGTTTTGACAAGATGCTGTTTCGTACTTACTCCACTAGCTGGAATAACAACGTCGGCGCGACGAGTGTTGGTGTTATACAGCGTATGTTTTTTTTTCGTAAGAAACGTTACAAGTCAACTACTCGTCCGCCTCGCAAAAAATGTCGAAATCGTAATGGCTAATAACCGTTAAGTGATACGTAACACGAATTCTGGTAATGATGCGGGCACGCGTGAGTAATCGGAAAATCTGCAAAACCCGTCCGCCGGTTATTGGGGGGCGCGTACCTACCGCCGCAACTCTTCTCTCGTTACTCATAGCGGACAACGATGTAAGTCAGTTTTCGTGGAACCTCTTTTCCGCCCTCCCAAGTGTCAAGTGACGTCTTTTGACACTCCCCGACCCATATTGGAGTTCAAACGTGCTATTGACGTAAAAGAACGGATTGTAGGACGTTAGTCATACGGCTTATGTTTCTGTACTATTATAAATATTCTTCAAAAAATTTTAATGTATCTTAGATTTAAGAGCCATGATAACTAGTCTGGGCGCTCGCTATTACTTCAATAATTCAATTTACTAGAGCAACGTGAGTTCAAATCTCCTTCCTGCCTTTAAATATAACAAATTTAATTATTTGATACGTTCCGCTAACACATATGGTAATTAGCACTTACTTATATGTTAAATGTACCATAAATTAACGTGTGAACAAAAATCGACGATAAACATTTTTAATGATAATTTATAATTACATATTTGAATGATTTTTTTTTTTTATAAACATTGCCCTCACTTTAGGATAACATTATCCTGTGTTGTAAGAACGTTTTACAAACATAAATTGCACGAGGACAAACACCCAGATGCGAAACAACTATCTGTGGGTCGCACAAATAGTTGTCCCGTGTGGGAATCGAACCCACGACCCCCGAC